CCGCCCCCCCCCCCCCCCCCCCCCGGAAGTTCACACTTGAATGTGAAGCAGTGGAAGTCAAAGTGTGGAAAGTCAAAGTGCCAAGACAATACCATGAAGAAAAAAAAAATCAGGAATTCAGTGTATGCATGTGTGTGTTTGCACACATGTGTATGTGCACAAATGCACCTGACTGAACTTTAAAGAAGTTACAGCATCTGCATGCAGAAAGAAAAAGTAATTCAAATATATGAAAAATCAAATCACCGTTTGAAGAAAGTGCACTCAGATTTCCTTAAAAAAACACTAATATTTTTGCCCAGGAGTTACTTAACTCATGTACTGTACACGTTTTTTCCCCCCCTAAATATTATAGAATATTTATGCCACTTTCTAAATATTCTTTGGACTATTTATACACACTACAGCATACACTATTTTTAACTAGTAATCAACATAGCAAACTAGTTGAAATTATTGTATAAGTTAAAACAGACCTAAGTTTTATAGAAAACAGATCTTTGGCCCAAATGGAGACAAAGTAAACAAATAAAACAAAAAACCCCATCTTTCAAATAATCTTTGCTTTGGAGATATATTTACTTGAAGGAACATAACACACATTAAATTCAATTTTGAGAACTTTAAAAAAATAAAAAACTAAATACAACATTATACATAAACAACTTTCGCCAATTTCTGAACCATCTTCCCACATTTTTCCACTACTTAGCCTGTTTTGCCAAAATCTGAGTTCTTTAGGATATCACTAGTGCTACAGTACAGTAGTAGTTTCAACACAGGCTTAGAAAGATTTGAAAGTTAACAAACGACAGATCGTACTTGACAAAGTTGATCTGAGGAAAAAGTTTGCTGGCTTTTGCAGGGTATTTAACTAGTCTCAAGTTTACTTTCACAAAATTCACTTTCTTTGCAGCTACCTTCAGTTCTTGCATTATATAAATTCAGATAATCACAAAAATTTAACTCAAAGGAGTATAACTTCTGTATGTGAATCTTTATATTTAGCTGTATCCTACTGTGTATACACTGAAATTGTCATGCATCACCAACAAAATGTCTGTACTTTGATTTTCTTTTTTTCTGCTTAAACTATTATTACAAGAACTGTTCTATTATATATGTAAAAGGAAAAAAAAACATTCTGAAGAAGAAAAAACAAGAAAAAACATTCTGATCCCATCCCAGAAAAATAGCAACAGGACAGTCATTAAGTTGCAATGCAACTTCTTCAATTGTATCTTCTTGCTCACAACAAAGGCAGACTTACTTTACAGACTTTACTACATGAACTTAACTGGTAACTGCTCTATTCCTACTGAACGGTAGAAAGAACTTTCCATTTTGTAGGAAATAAGTCATTACCCATTATATGGAATAGGTAATTAGAATTTTATCCTAAAAAACAAACAAACAAACAAACAACCACTAAAATTCCACATTTGGAAACAAAATTCTTCTTTTTCCAATCACCTACGTTACTAATAAAGCTTGAACAGCACCACGGAATTGACTCAGTGTTTGAGTATTCCACTAGGTGACCAAGTCACAAGACAGAGAGAGAAATTACCACACATGGCACAGAACTTCAGAGATGGCTTCCGTGTTGCACCAAGAAAACTGGCTAGACACAAACCTTTATTTTCTACAGAGAGATGCAGTAGACCAGTCAAATAGATAGACATTTAAAATACAGAATCTACAGAGTGAAAATGATGTGACTTATTTTGACCAAGGCCCAAACTTTTTTTTTAAAGTGACTTAAAACAAAACAAAATGAGGTGTGTGTCATAAAAAAATCTGAAATAATAACAACTTCTTTGTATAAAAATAATATTTCCCCTTTCAAGGGGAATTTAAAGATTCTCAGGCCCTATGATTTTAAGACATGCTTTAGAATGAGAATACAATGCCGAATTACTTTTCATATATTATTGTTTTTTAATTTAAAGTGTAGAATGTTTTTATTTTCATGAGAGAATACTTCATAATACTTCATACATTCAATTCTCCATAATTGCCAGTACTAGCAGATAAGGAGCTTCTATAAAATACAAATTCTACTCTTAGGTATGAAAAGTGGCATAGACAAGTGGCAGTGTTTCACAAATATAGCTGTAACTTGCCTATTAAACTTTCATTATCCTTCATTGTTTATCATTAAATGTACATCCCAAACTTTGTAATAAATTATCACAAAGAAAACTTTTTTAAAATAAAAGTCAGATTTGACATAATTTCCTTTAATTCTCATTGAACGTGCACCTGGTGCCCAGGATATTACTATGTTCACTACCTATAGCCTACATCTGCTCGGCTTTAGCTGATCACAGAAAGTAGAGATGCCATGAGAGATGGCTGAACATAAGGACATCATAAAAGAACGTCTTTTCAAATGATAAAAAAAATTAGGACATTTTCCTTTTTGTCTGATCACAATAGCTACTTAAGGTCTCCTGGTGGGGTAAATACAGCAGAGATGCATGGTATCCATTGCTTTTGCAAATTTCAGAATAATCAACTACTTAAATTATTAGAAGAGTTGCATACATTTGGCTATTTGATGATAGGCATCTCTAACTCTTACGCTTCTTAAGCTCTTAACATGCTTTCTTCAGTACAAGGAAATAGAAGTCTCTAACTAATTGGTAGTTTGAGCAGCTACGTGTCATTGCTCAAACACCACTTCCTTTGCTAATTTATTACATGTTATCCAGATGGGATGATGTTCCACAAATCTGTAGTCACTGACCTAATGGCATTTCTGAAGCAGCAGCCATCCTACAATAGCTCATGGAAACTGTTCAAATAAGATTAGAGCACAGTGTAGCCCATGGCATGCGCAGCATGAACTCAAATGGTGGGATTTCAAGATGGGTATTCTTGGTTAATCTCCTTCTCCCTCCATCTGCACAATGGACTTTCAAAGGGTCACCCTGTACCAACAATCAGTTTCAGGACTGTGACGACAGGAGGTATCAGTCTCCGTGTGGATCTGCTGCTACACTCCTATCGCATTTATTATCTAAATCTACACTTGTTATAGTCCTAGCTATAGCGATAGCTTCAGTTCTTCAGGATTTCTTTACATATATCAAATACCCACTATGGATTTTTGGTCGTTTTCGTCCTCAGACAGCATGTAACACTTTACACAGCCCTAACTAGACTTGCCCTTAACAAAAAACGAGCTTGTCCTTTAGGCTCAGTTAGAACCAGACAAACAGTAGTTCTTTTCAGGGTGTTACTGGATCTTTTTTGCCCTTGGCGCTCAAAAAATCTTTTCCACCACTCATATAAGTCATTGTATCTAAGGTACCACAGTCCTTTACACAACTACTTCAGAGCAGTTTGCTCAAAATTCAAAGCCATGTAGGAATGAAATCTCTATTCAGTATGGAAATAGTTAGGATCATAACTACATCATTGCTACTTGAACTGATGCCGTTCCACTAACCAAACAATGGACTTTACAAGGGCTATGTCCTGAATAATCAAAGTATATTTGGGCATAATAAATAATAAGAACAGTAACACCTTTTCTCAGACTTCTGAAATGAAAACAAAACCATCACCACTACAGCTCCAAGTAACAGGCAATCAGCTACGCTTGCTTGAATTGAATTTGAAACATATCCTTGGCCTTTTAACATTTCTTTCTTTGCTGTACCATATTACTTTTTTTTTTATCACGACTAAACTGGACAAAAAAAAAAATCCACTGACTGAGAAAATTAACGTCCAAACTGATAATAGTATACTAGATTTGGCTCCAAGGCATAATTCATTTCCAACTTGGCATTATCTTCTTAGCCAGTCAAAGATTTAATTCAGTCAAGTTTTAAGCCTCCGACTTCAATCTATACGTATCTTGGCTTATAGGTCAGAAAAAGACAGATTGGTTTGTTGTAGGATTTTTTTGTTTTGTTTTCAAGAAAGCTCTGATCAACATCGCAGTTATTCAAATGACATACAAAACGTATTTAAGTGGATACATGTAAGAAAAGAGTTCTTTCCTTGAACAACCGGGGTGGGGGGCTGGGGGAGGTGGGGGAGATTGCCATCTACAGCTTGAAAGACAACACAAAGTCATAATTTTAAAGTCCAAAGAAAGAAGTAAAGACACAGTAAAGCAGGACACATTTTGCAAACCAAATCCAAGGTATTACATATGCAAAGTGTCTGCTCTCATAAATCTGCTGGAAAATATTACTGCTAAAATAGAATTCAATTGTTTTAATAAAAGTTTTGTGACATTTATTTTGCTTCTCCTTAGTTTTCGGCCCCTTAATTTTACTAATCTTTTTGTAGCGTAGGAAATAGGAGGAGAGAGAGAAAAGGGTGACACAAAAAACAAAAGTAGGAAGGGAGGAGATTTTCAAGTTTTTTCCAATATTATAGGTGATGAAAATGTTTGCACGTTTGATGTTTCAAACCCCTACAGTAAGGCACTACCAGCCTTGCAATTAAACAACACAAACAGAATCAACAACACTGTGTAAAAACAATGTCAAGAGGTCCAACAATCCATTATCAGTGTGACATAGAGCATGATCTACAGTGACGTTTCATAA